CCAGGGGCCTGCTTGGCGGAGGGGCAGACATGGGCAGCAGAGGGCACCTGGGGGTTGGGGGAGTCTGGGCCTGTCTGCTCTCCCCTATTCCAGGGGCCTGGGCAGTGGGGGGTCATGCTGGAGCGCTCACCCAGCCTGTTGCTTCCTCACTCCCCACTCTGTGGCCGAGGGATGGAACAGGTGCCAGGTCACACAGCACTGGTGTGGGCTGGGTGACCATCAGGTGCCAGAGTCACCAGACACAAGCACCCAGACCATCCCTCCCCACCGCATCTGTGGAGAGTGGCTGCAAGGCCAGGCCTGGTGACTCCTGGGCCCTGTCACGGTGCCCCTTCGAGGAGAAACTACCAAGAGCATCCCCAGTCGGGCACGGTGGCTCACACCTGCTGTCCCAGCTACTCCGGGGGCCGAGGCGGGAGGATTGCTGGAGCCCAGGGATTGAAGGCCAGCCTGGGCAACATAGCATTAGTCAAGCTCAATAAAAATATTTAAAAATTTAAAAGATCATCCACAGGCCCACAAGCGTCTGAGGGCTGAGCTACCATGTAGTGTGGACTGGGGCCAGTTGTCTGCCCTTCCATGCACACACCACATCCGCCTACATGCCCGCTATTCATGCGCACCCAGTACGCGTGTACATGTACGTACATTCATCTGCATGCACGTCTGCTCGCACCCATCCCACCACCATGTGCAAGGGCGCTCACATGTGATGTGTGCACAGGCATACGTACGTAAAAGCATTATACATTTCTCTGTGGATGGTCACATGCCTGCACGTGTGTGCCCCTGAGGCTGCCGGCTCCATCCTCTCTCTGGCTGGCTGACCCTAGCCCAGCAGCCAGCAGCCAGCAGCCCGTGTGGCCCTCAGCCCCTGCCCTGCCGTCACTTCTGGCATGCGGGCAAAGGTGACTTGGACTTGGTGGAGGGCAGAAAACTGCCCAGGAAAGCTTTGTGGCTGCATGAATGGGCAGAACCTGCCCACTATGCCCCACCTGAAATTGGGCTGGACACCCGTGCTTCCTGCCCCCTGGCCCTGAGCGGTATGTGCTGAGCTGGGGTGGGAGCGGTGAACAGAGGGGCCTGGTTGGTCTTGGGTCCCGGCCCTTGGTCCAACAAAGTTCCCAGCACACACCACCAAACTCCACGCTAGGACAGGGGTCCAGGATGCTCCAAGGCTGCCCGGGCATATGCATGTGCTCATAGATGCACGCACTCACACACAGACATGCTGCATTCCCAGAGGGCCGGCCCCTGGCTGGTGCACGCCAAGCACAGTGCGGGCACACGAGGAGGCCTGGGGACTGTGGGAGGCTGGGGAAGTTGGGGTATTCCTGGCAGACAGACCACAGCGGCTGGCTGCCAGTCACACTCCCAGCCTGAAGTAGATCTTGCCACATGTGGGGACAGCCCCGGGTCACGGGAGAACCTCCAGGGCTCTGCCTCTCCAGTGCCAGCAGAGGCTCTCCAGGGCCCAGCTCTGCCCATCCAGGGTCCTTGGGGTTCCTTGGCCCTGTGGCCCTCTCCTGCGGGGCCCACTGCTGCCCTCTACCCTTGCAGAGCCTCAGACATGTGGTGGGAGGCCAGGGGCGGGGAGAGAGGCCATGCAGGTGCCCCCTCCCACCCAGCAATGCTCCAGCTTTGCAGCCCTGAGCCTGCAGGGGCACCCCTCCCCAAGGCACCAGAAGGGAGAGAAGCCGCCCAGGACAGCAGCTGGAGGGACCGGGCCTCAAGTTAAACATCCAGCCAGTCTCCACAAGGACACACTGCCAGGGCTGGGGCCACTGCCTTCTGCAGCCCCTACTCACCCTTCTGTCCTTGAGGCCCTGCCCCTGCTTTTGGCAGCTCTGGGCCGATGCCAGCCTGCCTTGAACACTCAGCCCAGGCAGGCAGCTCAGGCCAGTGGGGAGGGGAGAGTGTCCACACTGGGAGCAGCAGCCGGGCTGGGCCTGCCCGGGGCCTGACTCTGAAGCTGCCGACCTGCCCATCAGCCGGTGGTCCCGACCTCACTCCACGCCACAGGGGAAGGCTCCAGGCGCCACCCAACGTGAAGCAGCCAGCTGCGGAGGGATGCTGGCCACTCACTCCTCAGCACCAGACAGAGGCTGCCGGGTCATCCGTTGTCAGCTGTGTTGGACACGGGGATCCACTCCCTCTGGCACTGGGAGTCTCCTGCCAAGCACCTGCGCTCAGGAAGGCCTGGAGACAACCAGTGTCCCTGCAGGGACTTGAGGAAGCCAAAGTCAGGGGTGCAGATGCCCAGCCTGTCCCTCCCCTGGACAGCGTGGTCCACACCCATACGGCGGGGCCAAAGGAGTATGGGGCAGAATAAAAGCCAGTGAGCATGTGGGCAGGCATGGCAGCCCCTCTGCAGTTGGGGTACGGGGTGTGGGCATGGCAGCCCCTCTGCAGTTGGGGTACGGGGTGTGGGCATGGCAGCCCCGCTGCAGTTGGGGTACGGGGTGTGGGCATGGCAGCCTCTCTGCAGTTGGGGTACGGGGTGTGGGCATGGCAGCCCCTCTGCAGTTGGGATACAGGGATTGTGGGCAGGCATGGCAGCCCCGCTGCAGTTGGGGTACGGGGTGTGAGGCATGGCAGCCCCGCTGCAGTTGGGGTACGGGGTGTGGGGCATGGCAGCCCCGCTGCAGTTGGGGTATGGGGTGTGGGGCATGGCCCAGCTTGTTCTCTGGGTCAGGGAGTGAGGTCACAGGGCAGACATCCCTAAGGACTTGGCAAGGAGCCCAGAGGAGGGGAAAGGTCAGATCTTGTGCCCCACCCACCAACTCTGTGGCTTAAGGGGATCCCTCCAGGGGACTCTCCCCACCCCCAGCTCCATGGGCTGCAAAGGAGCAGCACAGAACAGTGGGACCAAGACAAGGGAGCTCAGGGCTGGCTGTGGCGGAGTCTTGGGCCTGACCCAGCCCTGAGCCCCAGAGGCCCCACCCCCTCACTCTATGAAGCTGTGCAAACCGCTTCTCCCAGGCACCCCCAAAGGTGGACACACACTCTCACAAAGCCCTGGACCACTGAGCCCCCAACTGGCTGTTCTCCAGTCCTGTCAGGACTGGAACCTGGTATCCATGGGGTGGTGGTGGCCACCAAACACCAGGTCCCTAAGCCAGCTCGTAACAGCCTCAGATGGTCCTGCTCTGAGCAGGCAGCAGGCGGCGGCGGGGGCTGCTCAAGGCTGGGGTGTGCGTGCCTGGCAGGCCCAGTCCAGAAGGCAGCATTCAAGGGAACAGCTAGCAAGCTGGGCTAAGAACATTGAGGCGGAGTTGAAGGGCTGGGCTCCCCCTTCCCTGAGGCTGCAGCATGGTCTGGTCCTGGCACTGGGAAGGGCCCAGGCAGAAGGTGCCCGAGCTGCTGCTGGGCATGCTGGCAGGCCCCGTGCAGCTGCAGGGTCACAGCTGGCCAAGCACTGCTTCAGGCCTGTCAGCCTCTGGGTTGGGAGATGTGGCCCCCAAGCCACTTACGGGACCGAGGGATACAGACCTGAATGCACCCCTTGAGCTCTAAGCTCGTGGCAGGGAAGCCCAAACCCAGGGTTCAGGCCGGCACCCAAAGGAGCCTGGCCACTGTGGCTGTCTACTCCTGGGCCACAGCGCCTCAGCACCTTGGCCACCCAAGTGTCTGTGTGGCACATGTCCCCACGGCTCCAGGACCCGGACGCTGTGTTCCACACCGCACCCTCTCTGGGAAGTCTTTCCTCCACCAGCCCAGAGATGTCCCACCAGCTGCTGTGGGGCTTGACTCGGGCACACTGGTCACCGTCTGGCCCCGCCTATGCCCCTCAGCCATCCTCTCCCTCCCACGCCCCAGCCCCCGAGCCCCACCCGACCCCCGCAAAGGGTGGACAGCCACTGTCTCCTGGGCCTCCCCTTCCCCCGGCCCTCACCTCCCACCCACCTCTCCACCCCTCCCCTCCCTCCAGCCTCAGGCAGGCCCTTCAGCCAATATCCTAAACCACCTGTGTGCCCAGTTGCTCCTGCACACGCAGCGTGGAAACCCTCTTTCCTGGCCTCCCGAGTGGAAATGCCCAGCCAGAGCTGTCTGTCCTGAAAACCTCCCTCCAACACCCAACTGCCCCCAAAGCAGGTCTTCCCGGATGAGGTTCCTTCCCTCCTGCAGAGCTGCAGCCCACCTGCGCCTGGGGCCCCACAGCCTGGCAAAGAGCACCACGAGAGCCAGACACTGCCCCCAGCCCTGCACCCCAGCACCCAGGCCGAGGGCTGGATCCCTGCACACAGGGCACTGCCTGCCTCGCCTGTGCCCCTCAGCCACACATCTGGTCTCCTCCTCAAATAAGATCTGGTGGCAGGTATCACCCATTTCACCCCCCAAATCCACCCTCTTCGACCTCCAACAAAACCCCCCCTCCATGCCACCTGGCTGTCATCTCTGGCCCGGCCCCAGTGGCCACCTGCCAGGCCGGGAGCCCCTCCAGCTGGTCCTCAGGGTTCCTCTAAGAGCACCCTCTCCAAGTCCCCTGCCCTGTGGCCCCACAGCCTACCTGCACCTCCCTCGGGGGCTCTGGGTGCCGGCTATGGCCCCCAGGCCCGCCCACCCTGGCCCAGGTGCTGCTTCCTGTCACCTCAGCCTCAGTGAAGCCCTTGTGGACTGGTCCTGCTGCTTCACTCTCTTCACAGCACTCACCTCCCGGTGCCCACACTGCACTGAGGCCCAAGCAGGGGCTTGTCCACCCGGTCCCCTGTGGCACACTCATGCCCAGCCCACGTCCAGCCCAGGCTGATGCACACTCACTCACAGCTGCTGCAGTAGTCGGGGGGACCTAAAGACCCCACACCCCTCACTCAGGGCAGCCTCTGGGTCGCGGGGGCTAATATCCACGGCCAGGCCGTGCAGCCAGCAGCCCCAGTTCTTGACCTGAGACACGGGTCGGGTCACAAAGGGCTGGCTCCAGCTGGCGCTACATGGCCCCTGATGCACCTGACATGGCGCTGCCACAGATCGCAACACGGAATCAGACAAGCCTCAGGCGATTTCTGTTAAGTAACCACAGATCTTTCTGCTTTACTAAATCTATTCTTCCCCCGAGCCTTCGAGAAGCCCTGGCAGGACCCAGGCTGGCTGCTGAGCTCTGGGCGGGGGTATGGGGGGTCTGGCCTGCTGTGGGCCAAGTGGGGGCAGGACAACAGCCCATTCCATGGGGAGGATGCAGCCTCCGGGGGTCAGTGTGGCACAGCTCTGCCTCCAGGCCACCCTCTCCTAGGGACACAGGGTGAAGCCCCCTCCTTGGCCACATCCAGGGCAGCCATGCCAGAGCTGAGACCCCCTATGGGTGGTCCTGGGACCTTCCCATGAAGAGGCCCTGGGGAGGCTCTCAGGCCTCCCTCTGCCCTCTCTCCTGGATGGGGGACCTGATCCAACTCTGACAGGAGCGCCACTGCCCTCCGGCTCTGTCCACAGGGCACTCCCAACACCAAGACACTATGCCGGCCACGCCCGCACTGCCTAGTTATGCTCAGGGCGGGTGGGCGCCGGTCTCAGCTGTCGGGCACTCAGTTCACCTGCCGGCAGCCGCAGGGCTCCTGGGGACACAACCCAAGTGTCCCTGAGGCAGAAGTCTGAACCCCACGCTGCTCCAGGCGGTGCAGGCAGTGGGAGGGGGTCTGGAGGACGCAGGGGTGGCGGTGCCTGACTTGGAGGAGGCAGGTATCTGGATGCAGGGCCACAGCTGGAGCCAGATGACCTTCAGACAGTGTGGTCGCAGGAGAGCTGCTGCCTCTCAGGTGCCAGACCCTCAGCTCCCACGGCTGCGCCAGACAACTGCAGGGCTCCAGCTTCCTCTCTGGCGGAGGCCACTGGTGCCGAGCGCCGCTCAGGAGGGACGGTGCGGAGGGCGGCTGGAGACTCCAGAGCTGGTCCTGAGTCACAGGGCCAGCACACTCAGCCCTCCCACACGTGGACCAGTGGTGGGGCTGCCCTAAGCCTGTTTCCTTCCAGTAGCAACACGACACTGCCGGCCTTGGAGGGTCCTTGGGTGAGTCGACGGCAGGCAGCGGGACCTAGCCCTGTGCACACCAGGCCCACATCTGATCACACACAAGCAGACGCTTGGTCCGGTTTCCCTTGCTGGATAGAAACACAATCCCAATGGCAAGTTCCACAGGGGACAGGGCTGTGGGGCAGGTGCCACCTGTCACCAGGAGTCTTGGTGCTGGGGCCTGCCTGCTGCAGTCCTGTAAGCCCATCTGATGCTGAGGAGGCCTGTGAGGCCCCCCGCCAGGACGCCACCTGCCTGGAGGCCACGCTTCAGTAGCCATCGTCTTCATCGCCGTCACAGCCGTAGTCTGCAGAAGAGCACAGTCATGAAGCCCAGGGTCTCTGTGGGAGCCAGGAGCCCAGAGCCCCCCCCCGCCCCACCCTGTTCCTGGTACCCCTCCAGGAGACTCCGGCCCCAGCCCCACTGGCTGTGGTCCCCGTGCCCCGCCAGGAGCCATCTTGGGCTCCTCTCTACCTCCTGGGACTGGCATGCACCCAGAGCAGAGCCTCGCTCCTCGTCGAGGGCACCTGAGAGCAGCATGGGCTCCCTCAGCCTCCCTCCCTGGGCGTGCAGGTCCGTGGTAGTGGGCAGACCCGGGAACCTCATGCTGCTGGCTGGGCGGCCCTCATGGTGGGTACCTCACTGTCCCTAGCCTCTCTGACCCTGGCTGGCGCCAACCTCACTATCGACATGACCAATTTACAAAATGTCTTAGTTCAAATTTCTTTCCAGGGAGAAACAGAAATTCAACTTGAAGCCAACAGGCCCAAGTTCAGGGATCATGAGGGGTAGTAGCTGATGCCTTTAATTCCCCTGAACCCCTCCCAGCTGTCGGGCCCCACCCACCATTGCCGCCCATCATCTGCAGGGCACTGACGCAGGGCTCCCCGTCCTCCTCGTCAGGTTCCTCCTCATCAGCCTCCTCATCAGCATGGTACGACACAGGCCCGCTCTCCACCAGGACCGCCTGGGGCCTGGCAGGCTCAGCTCTGAGGGCGGGAGAGCTTGGGAGCAAAACCTGGAACGAAGTCGGGCTCGGATACACACAGAGCTGGGAGCACTTCCTCGCAACAGACCCCTCAGACCCCCTAGGGCGGGCCCAGGATGCTCAGCCACTCCTGTCCCTCCAGCGGGTCCCAGGGTTGGCCAAGGTTCCCAGGCCCACTGGCTCCTTCTGGCCTCCTGGTGGCTGCACCGTGAGCTGTGTCAGCATCAAGATGCCACCCTCAGGCCTCTGCCAGCCCCTGCTCCTGTACCCTACTGGGCCCCACCCCAGCGCTCAGGGAGCACGCAGAACGCCTTTCCAGACCGTAGGCCTCAGCCGAGGTCACTGTGGCCTCCGCCCCCGGGGGGCTTGGCCTGGCCTGGCCTGGCCCCCAGAACACAGAGAGAGGCTGCTGGGGCCGCAACCCACCAGCACCTTCAGCTGCACTGGGACCCTCCCTGCTGCTCCCTGGTTTCCTGGGCCAGACCAGTCACCAACAAATGACAGTCCAGATGAAAGACCCCTGATCCCTGAAGGGCTGGGCCCTGTGACCTGGCAGTGCCTGCTTCCTACATACAGGTTCCCTGCAAGCACCAGGCCCACAGCAAGGCTGCTCACCCTTGGCCCGAGGGCTGAGCAGGAGGCACACAACGGTCCCCACTTCCTGCCCGCTCCTGCTCCAGCAACCGGGAGCCCCGCCCTCGGGCCTCGATTCTCTGGCCACGCCAAGCCAGTGTGGAGCAAAGGGGCAGGTGCCTCTGTCAGACCTGCTCTCCCTGTGCTCACAGACCAAGCATCTGGGCCCAGGAAGAAATGGGTGGGCTGCCTCCCAAGGTCCCCCTGCCCTGGCTGCCTGGGAAAACGCACCTCTCCTGTGGCCGCCTTCTTTGCTGGCTGCGTCGACACCAGAGGCCTCAACCTGCAAAAGGAAGCACAGCATGGCGGCCTCAGCCCAGGCTCCCAGAACGCCTGCCCACTTGTTCCTTTTTGCCTGTCTTCACTTCCCCAGCGTTAACTGACGGTTTCTCGGTCCCTCTGGAAGTCTGGTTCTGTGTCCAGCCTCTGTGTGCTCCATCAATGCTCACCTCACCTCAACACAGAGCTCTTACCCGTTCACATTCTCAACAGGGTGCACCACTTGATGCAGAAACACAAAAGCGGCAGATGCCCCGCTCCCCGGCCCACTCCTCTTCCAACAGCGCCTGAGCCCTCAAGCAGCTGCCTGCTGCCCTACTTCACTCAGGGCGGAGGGGAGGGAGGGGAAGGGACACTGTTAGGCCCGAAGACCCCAGACTGCTTCCCCAATCCCTGTCAGGCCCAGGGCAATCCCTGCTTCACCTGACAACACCCTGCACAGGGCCTGCTCGCTGGCCCGCCACACACAAAGGCCAAAGGTGCCTTCCACATGCCAAGTCTTCTTGGAGACTGCTGGTCCCCCCCAGGGAGACAGGGGACCCCCCCAGGAGAAGACGCAGGCATTCCCCGCAAGCCCCAGCATAGACACACAGGGCTGTCAGGCGGGCAATGAGAGGGCTCAGGGCCTGTGCGGAAGGACGCAGCAGGGGCAGAGCCCTTCCCTCCAGAGCACAACTGTGCGGGGAGGCAGTAGGGGGCCTGAGGCAGGGCCCTGCCTGGCTGTGACGTGTCAGATGAACTCTCGGGACACTGGGAAGGAACCCCATGACAGGTGGACATTAGCAGAACACCCAGACATGGAGTTCTGCTCGGGGTGAAGCTGACAGCAGGTGGGAGCCAGGCTGAGGCCCCAGGCTCCCCATGTGGCCCTCTCCGTAGTCTGGAGGAAGTGGGACCCTGAGCTCCCAGAGCTCCTGGTGGGGCTGTATGCTCAGGCCAGGCCTCCAGCCTGGATCCTGGAGCCTGGCAGGCGCTGCTCCGCCGTCCCCACCCCCATCCCCAGGCCCACTGTGCAGTGGAGCGGGGGCCTCTGGGGATGGCGGCTGGCCCTGCGGCGGAGCTTCCCAGCAGGCTGACTGCGATGAGGCACCCCACTGCGGTCTCTCCAAAAGTGGCTGGCACTCCAGGAGGCAGGCCCGGCGGCTTGGTCGGAGGCCTGATCTTGGCGGGTGGGACTAAGCCCCCAGGAGATTCATGCTCCGGAAAGTCAGGCCAGCAGGCCCCCATCGAGGAGGGCCCTGAGCCTCCCCCGCTCAAGAAGAGGCAGTTTCTTTTTTTCTTTTTTTTCTGAGACGGAATCTTGCTCTGTGACCAGGTTAGAGTGCAGCAGCGTGATCGCGGCCCACTGCAACCTCTGGAAGAGATAGTTTCCTTGACTTCAGCAGACTGTGCCTTAGCCAGACAGGAGCAGATGCTGGCGGGCAGGACTATGGGGCCACAAGGAGAATGGCGCTGTTTCGAGGGTGAACTTCCTGCAGGGACATGCCCTTCCTCCCCCACCTGGCACTGAGGACACGCTGAGATTCAAGTCACAAGGTCCTGCTGCACTGACCCAAGGTTCTGACAGACAAATCCAGCTTTTCCAGAACCAGGAAGCAGCTGTGCCAGGCCTCACCCTAGGGGGCCAAAAAGCTCCCTACTCCTGCAGAGCCCGGCAGGGTGCAGAACTGTAAGGGCTCCCGGGGTCTGCGGGCTACCTGGGGGCCTGCCTCAGGGGCTCCCCCTTCCTTGCAGTATCCTGTGTGAATCTGAGGCAGCCAGTCCACATGGGAGGGTCTGAGAGCACCTGGAGAACAAGCTCCCACCTGCCATCACCTCGGCCACGGCCTTGGCCTGTAGGGGGGTCCCCAGCCAGGGGCCTGAGGATGAGGGGGCTCTGCACCCATCGATCACACAAACCCACTGCTGGGCTCAGACTGCTCCCTCTCACAGCCACGCCAGCACGTGTTGACCCCACTGGCTGAAGCCCGGTCCCAGCCCAGCTTGGGGGACCCTGGGGCCTGTAAGCAGACAGGAGGGGAGCTCATCTGGTGGGCCCCACCTTTGCCCCCCTTCCAGATATGGGGGCTGGGGCCCACGGTCCACGTTGGCCCCTCTGCCTGTCCCCAGAGGGAGATGTTCAGGCATGACAGCAGACTGATCTGCCTGGGCTAGAGTGAGGACGACACAAGCTTGGAGGGAGCGGCTGCCTACACCCCTGCGTGGCTCAGCTGCCCACACCCCTGCATGGCCCAGCTCAGGTTCTGCAGGTGTCTGTCATCAGGGGAAGCACGCGTCACGACATGGGACTAGGGGCAGGTGGCCAGAGGGAGACGGGCTGGGCAGCCACCGGCAGCCAAAGAGAATGGGGGTGCAGCTCAGGTTGGTTCCCCCACAGCAAGGAGGGGCTGTCATGCCTGGGCCGCCCAAGGCAGCACAGCTGCTGCTGAGGGACGCTGTGGTCGCTGGGCTGAGGCAGTGCCTCCTCAGCTGAGCCCCTCCTCGGTGGTCTGTCCCCACCTCCCTTCCTCAGGTTGGAGCCTCAGCCTCTTTCCAAGCAGTCCAAGTCCCTTTTTCCTCATCCGAGCGTGGGTGAAAAGCTGCCCCCATGGGCTGCAAGGGCAACCGGGACGTGCCCTTCTGTCCCCAGGTAGACCCCCCTCTCCCCTGCCCTGCTGGAACTGTCTGAGCTGCCCAGGCCTGAGTGGGGATGGGGGTGCGGAGGGCCGAGGTATTCCCAGCCCTGAGGTCTTCATGCTTCCATCTTAGAACACTAAATATTGACGAATCGGATCATGGCCATTTGCAGGGGAAGACTGATGGGTTTTGAATGCAGAAAGCAGTGCATGAACACGCAGATGTATGTGCACATACACTGTGTGCACACAGACTCACGCGCACACACACTGCACACACTCGAGAGATTTAAGACACACACATACCCCATGCACACAGAGAAACACACACACTGTATACACATGCGTGCACATGTGTACACAGAAACAGACATGCACACACACTGTGTAGACATACAGGTACACGTGTTGCATGCACACACACTGCATGCACAGATACACATAGGCATGCACATCTGCACTTGCACACAAAAACTTACACAGACATACATGCCCATATACTGTGTGCAGTCAGATACATGCACACACTGTGCACACACACAGGCATGCAGATGCACTGTGTGCAGACACAAGTACACATGCATGCACACACGTACTGAGTGCACCAACACACACGTACTGTGTGCATATGCACTGCATGCACGGACATGTGCACACACAGCATGCACAGACACAGGCACGCACGCACGTGCACACGCTGCATGCACACAGGCGCACACACACTGCATGCAGACACAGACACACATGCACATGCGCACACACTGCATGCACATAGACACAGGCACACACACATGCACACACACACTGCATGCACACACAGGCACACATGCACTGCATGCACACACAGGCACACACACATGCACACAGACAGGCACACATGCACTGCCTGCATACAGATACAGGCACACACGCACATGCACACACTGCATGCACACAGACAAGCACCCACACACTGCATGCACACACGCACAAACACACTGCAGGCACACAGACACATGCACACACACTGCACTGCAGGCACACAGGCACACTGCACTGCAGGCACACAGGCACCCAGGCGCGCACACACACTGCAAGCACACAGACACAGGCACACACTGCATGCACACAGGCACACACGCACATGCACACACACATTGCATGCACACAGCCACACGCACACACTGCATGCACACAGACATAAGCATACACACACATGCACACACATTGCATGCACAGACACAGGCACACACGCACTGCATGCATGCACAGGCACACACGCACACACACTGCATGCACACAGACACAAGCACACACATACTGCATACATACAGACACAGGCACACACACTGCATGCATACAGACACAGGCACACATGCACATGCACACACACTGCATACACAGGCACAGGCACACACATGCACGCACACACTGCATACACACTGGCACACATGGGCACACACACTGCAGACACAGGCACAGGTGCACACACGCTTCACACACAGGCACATATGCACACACACACACACTGCATACACAGACACAGGCACACATGCACACACTGCATGCATAGACAGGCACACACGCACATGCACACATACACCGCACAGGCACACACACGCACACACTGCATGCACACACACACCACATGCACACAGACACAGGCATACACGCACTGCATGTACTATGTGTATACAGACACAGACACACATACACACACAGAGAGACACACATGCACACCGAGGCCTTGTCTGGGCCAGCTGGTCAGATGTAACAGAGAGGGCTGTGAACTCTAACCAGGCACCAGAATCACCCAACTGGGACAGGACCCCCGTCCCCGCTAGTGCTGAGAGAGACTGGCTGGGCAGGCAGCAGACACTGAGACTCAGGCCTCAGATCCGACCTGAGAGTGCTCGGGCACAGGGGAACCAAGCCATGGACCTGCCCTGACTTCACCTCTGCCCCACTGACCTCCTACGCATGCCAGGAGCTGTGCTAGGAATGCATCCCCAGAGGGCCACTGCATGGCTGATGTGGAGGAGACAGCTCATGCGGCCCTCCTGAGGGGCTGAGATGCCGGCTGAGAAGCACCAGCCTGCAAGGAGGTCAGGCTCCCTCACAGAGCAGCACCTGGGCACCGTGGGGCAGGGGCGGGGCAGGCCCATAGCACAGCCAACTCTCACAGGGTGCAGTGGCAGGCCAAGCAGCTCAAAAGGCCAAGGAGAAACCACCGCAAACAACAGGAGGCCCTGACAGGGCTGCCGAGGGTCAGCACTGCCCCACAGGGGAAGCAGCTGGAGACAGCACAAGAGATCCCAAGGAGCAGTAGGACCAGCAGACGCTCCCAGCCCAGAGACTCGGTGGGGTGGAGTGAAGGTCGGAACCACTATAGGATGGACCCAGAGGCTAAGCTGCCGATCCCATCTCCACTGCCAGGAGGTCACATGGACTAGCCGCGGGCCCCAAAGACGCAGCAGGTAAGCCCAGCTGCTCGTGGCCTCGTCAGGAGACCCTGCAGCCGCCACCCAGAGGCAAGCCGTGCACAGAGGCTGAGCCACTCCAAGGCGGCCCTGCATGGAGCGGCAGAGCCTCGTGACCCTGTGCGCTGAAGCCAGCACATCCCCCCTTTGACAGTCCCTCAGCCACATTCTCCACCCACATCCTCCTTCCTCAGCGGTGTGCTGCTCTCACCCACCACCTCGGCAGAGACAGCAATGCAGCCTGGGTGCGCAGAGCAGGCACAGGGCGGCAGGGCTGGGGGCTCGTCTTCCTGAACCCAGGCTGGAGAAGGCGCCGACCCCACTGAGAGTCCCATCCCCTCCTTGGGACAAAACAGAGCCTAGGCTGCAGGATCCCTCTGACAGCCTGCACCGCTCATCAGGTCACAGCCCGCCAGACCAAGGAGAGCCAAGACACCATCAATGCACCGGAGACAGCCCACCGGTCCCCAGCATGCAGGTGGCAAATGCCACTCCAGGCACTTCTGTGGCCCCGGCTGGCCCCTGGCAGCTCCAGGACCCGAAGCCATGGGCCTCTGCCTGCCCTGGGCTCCTGCCCTAACCCAGCCACGCAGGACAGGATGGTACCTTTTCCCCACACTGGTCACAGGGTCAGCCCCACTTCTGCTGGCCGGCGTTCTCCTTCGTGACAGCTTCCTGGCACTGGTGCTATGCTCGGGCTGCGCATCCTCCCTGTGCGGGCTGCCCCCGCCGGCGCTGCTGAGGCCCCGGAGCACGCTGTAGTTGATCTTGCTGGAGATCTTCTTCTGCTCCAGCATCTTCTCGATGGCCTCCCTGGCGGTACTGGCCTGAATTGGCTCCCGTCGCTTGCAAGACTTCTTGGGCTTGACGGAAACATGCAAGAATGCCTCCCGTGAGTCACGCCCACTGCACTTGACTACCAGGGCTCCATGTGAGGCCAGGAGTGCAGGCCCTCAGAGGGCTGCTCCTGCCTCCTCCTCCCAGAACGTGGGCCAGCCTGGCACTCTCTGGGCCTGCCCACGTCAAATCCTGCCCTCCCAGGTGAGTGGGGCACGTGGGTTGGCATGGGTGCTGGCAGGGCCTCCAGACAGCAACAGCAGCAAATGTGCCACATGCACATGGCAGGGAGACAAGCTGCCCCTGGGTCCCACACAGGCAGGGCCACATGCACACGGCAGGGCGACGAGCTGCTACACTGTGAGGGCCACAGCAGAGAGGCTACTCAGTGAAGACAGACAATCCGTCCCAGCACCGCAGCCTAAGCCAAAGACAGGCAATGGCCAGGCACGGTGGCTCACGCCTGTAATCCCAGCACTTTGGGAGGCCGAGACGGGCGGATCACAAGGTCAGGAGATCGAGACCATCCTGGCTAA